CATTATAAAAAAACATAGCTTTCTCTATTTGTCAGGTAAGAAATCGTAAGTTGCACAAATTTTGGAGAAAAACCCAAGCCGCTTAATTTCTCAATTAGTATCTGATGGTTAATTATATCGAAAGCACTGGAGAAATCAGTATATATAACATCAACTTGTCCACGTTAATCAATTTCTTCACTAGTAAACTAGGTTTTGGTGGTCAAAACCCAGTTTATTAGTGTAGAGTAAGCGTTAAGTTGTGAAATACTAATATACCATATACCAACAACTAACATAGGATAGGAAGTGATAATTTATGAGTAGTCCGCAATATACATCGGTAGTGAATAAATGGGTTTAAAAGGTTGAGTGCGTATTCTTCAAATGGTCCCATCAAAATAAAACAACATCTATCACATGGCGATCCACAATTTGTTACAGTAGAATCTTTACAAAAATTTGGAACAGATGTGAAGAAACTGATACCTCTTGCATACTTTGTCGCACCATCCGAATTTTCAAGACATTTTTTTTTTTATTGATTAACGTTACCCAACAGGCCGGAGGCCCAATTACAGGGTAACGGGGGACATACACAACAACACCCAGAGTAGGGCGGGAATCGAACCCACGACCCAAGGTGTGGCAGGCAAGCGCGATGCTACCTAACCCACCCGGGTCCTTTTTGCGACAAACATCTTTGGAAATGGCATTCGCAACGTTGATCCTGCAATAAGACTTCTTGTACCATGATTATCTATTTATTTTTTATTTTATAGGACACATTGTTAAATTCGGGTTTTTTTATAAATGTGAGCATAAATTGGCCTAATCAGTCAAAAATTGCTAAGCAACGATCGATTATTCATTTAAATTAATTAATTAATTATTCAAACAAGCTTCGATATTCAACATTTTTATTAAAGTTGGGAAAATAGTATTTCATCAAATCATTCCCTGGCGAGGGAAGTCCTGTCGAAATAACCTTCGTCCAATTTTTTCATTCAGTTCATTTTTATGAACCAGGTCTTTGTTTCATCAAAGGAATCACATATATTTTCCTCTAATTCCTGACATAGTTAGCTAATTTAATTTACTGTGAGATGTCTTCTTACATCGATAACACTCAATATAAACTCGTGCGGCAACAGTTTCATTCTCTTCGCATTTGTCAAAAACCAGGTAAAACATTTTTAACTGCTTACTCGATTTTTGCTGATTTGTACCTTCGCTTTATATATACGTATTAGATAAACACTGTTGTCAAATGGAATTTTATCAAATTATTACAAAAACAACACAACCATATCTTTGTACATTCTAAATGAAATGGCACCTCGCCAGACGAGGTATAACATTTTTTTGGTTTTTTGTATGAAAAAATGATATTAATATAGATGTATCATACATCAAACTGTAGCTTTTTTCATATTCTAGAGCGCAGAGACCAGTTCAATCAATTAAAAAAATATGGCTATATATATATTGTAAAAAAAGCACCATTGTATGTTTTCTTTTCAAGTTTTTTGAGTCATAACCATCATAGAATCGCTCGAAAATTCGCACATGGATAAAACATCACTTTTTACAGGGCGCAGAGTGATTATATGTTTGTTAGTGGTACAATTTGTTTAAATAATAATGTGTTTATTAAAATCAAAATATATCACAAATTAATGCAAAATACGTCGAATAATTTTAACAGGAATATCAGAGGAAATTTAATGATCTATTGGTTAGCAGAGTTTTTAATAAAAACTAACAATTATTGAAAAAAATGGGTATCAATTCGACAGAATTTGAGCAGTTAGTTCAGTATTTTGCCGATAGGAGCGCCACTAAAATTTACGGAAGCGACTTTCCAGGTAAAACCCTTATTGCCTGCTCTACCATAAGCTGATTGTTAGAGTTCTCGACTGATTTTTCTAATTTATGGCAAGGAACTCAGTTTTATAACAAGCCGCCAGGACCGGCCGTAGTAATCTATTGTTAAGGAAATTAACTTTTAAATAATATAATATATATATAATATTTTTACTCCACTCAGGATCCTGAATTCAATGCACATGATTACTAAAAATTCATTGTAATATTATTGTTAATATATATTTTGCTTCGTTAATTAATAAAATTAATAAACATATTTATAATATTAATAAAAAATATATAAAAGCTAAGTGTATCTACTACTTATCCCAGAAAGGAGGTGTTTTAAAAAAGCTCTACGCCCAGTTGCAATATTTTTTTGTTATTAAACCAGGACCGTTTTAATTACAATATATTTACTTATCCCCTCTAAAAAATTCATGACGTCATCTCAAAATTTTGCTGAATAAATCCTATCTAAAATGAATAAAATAAAAGTCTCCTCTTGTAATTTATCATCCCATTCGTATTTTTTGGATTCGGATATGTAGGTGACCCCAAAAATTAATGAATGCTTAAATTTATTTTATTGAGTTAATCAGGAACTAAAGAACCCAATGCTTTGAAATCTTGCAAATGTTTTAAGGTTGTAAAGAGCATAATAAATTTTTAATCAAAATATATTTGGTTATCTTCTCCAAAAAATTGATGACGTCAGCTCAAAAGTTTGCCGTATAATCCTATTTAAAATGTACAAAATATGATGAGTCTCTTCTTGTAAATTATCATTCCATTCATATTTTTTGGATTCGGATATACAGGGTGACTCAAAAAATTTAATGAATGCGCAAATTTATTTTATTGATTTAATCAGGAACTACAAAACCGAATGCTTTGAAATCTAATGTGAAAAAAAAAAACATAATAGCCATGCAGACGTCACGTTTCCGATAGCGAGGGAAGTACTGTCTAAACTCTTTAGACCAATTTTTTTTTATTTTCCCATTTCTCCATTTCTCAATTTTTCAATGTGTCAGTTTGGGATTTTTTCACTGTTTCGATTCTTTAATTTTTCTTCCATTTTTAGGTTTTTCAGTATTTCAGCTTTGGAATTTTGCAATATTTCGTTTCTTCAATGTTTCAAATTTTTAATATTGTGTTTTCTCGGTTTTTAAATTTTTCGATATTTTAATTTTTCAATTTTGAAAGTTACAGGTTTTTAGATTTCTCACTATCTCGACTTTTCGATTTTTCAGTTCCATGATTTTTCAATTTGTCGAATTTTTAAATTTTAGGTTTTTTGTTTTCTTTGATGTTTTGAGTTCTCGATCATTCGATTTTCTGAGTTTTCAGGCTTGGATTTTTTTTGTTGTTCAATTCTTGGACTTTTTAAATTGTTGTTTTTTAAATTTTCCTATTTATCAACTTATTGCGATTTCAATGTTTTGATTTTTTGATTGTTCAATTTCTCGATTTTTTGAATTTTTTGTTTTTGATACGATTTTTTTTTCAAAAATTTTCAGTTTTTCAATTTATTAACTTTACGATAGTTCAGTTTTGCTCGATTTCGATTTCTCAATTTTTCGGTATATTACTGTTGGGATTTTTCAATATTCTTCATATTTTCGGTTTCTCGAATTTCTTCATTTTTCGATTTTTCAATTTTCCGATGTTTCAGTTTTACGATTTTTAATTTTTTTCATTTTTCAGCTTTTCAAGATTTCAGTTTTGAATTTTTTCACTTTTTCAATTTTTCAATTTTCCTTCCATTTTTGAGTTTTTCAGTATTTCAGTTCTGGGATTTTGCAATGTTTCGGTTTTTCAATTTTTCCATTTTTGATGTTTCGATTTCTCGGTTTGTCAATTTTTCGATAGGTATTTTAATTTTTCAATTTTTATGTTCTAGATTTTCCGTTAATTTTTTTGTTTTCCTTGATGTTTTGATTTCTCGATTATTCGATTTTTCAAGTTCTCGGTTTAGATTTTTTGGTTTTCCAATTCTTCGATTTTTAAATTGTTTAATTTTTAGAATGTTCAATTTTTTGATTTATAGATTTTTCAATTTTTCGGATTACCGATTTTCTTCATTTAAAATGTTTCAATTTTTCAATTATTAAGTTTTCGATTTTTCAATTTTGGTGTAATTTGAAAACGTGATCAATAATACATTTAGGCGAATAAACTAATAGACGGGCTTGATAACCCTTGTTTGCTCTACGGTGTCTAAATTGTGTTTGAATAATATATTAATTATCTCGAATATTAAAATTAATATGTCAAAATAAGACGAGAAATGATTATTCTGTGCTGAAGGTATGTTGTGGGCCGCCTGTCATAAATTATCATTATTCTTCATTATCGGCTTACGATGTTTTTATGACCCACGTCCGGTAGTCGTCTATCCCAGCGCGTCAAGTAGATTTAAAGAAGAATTGCTGGTTGCGTTTAAGGCAACAAATGGCGCCCAATTCAAACTTGTCTCTCGTCTAGCGTTCCCCCTTGAACATGGGCATGGATAAGTTTTCGTACTAGTTAAAGTAAATTGTGAAAATGAATATCTTGTTTATTTGTTAAACGTAGCAAAAGAACTAATTTTAAAATCATTAGAACACCACCAAAATGTGAGAAGGATTGTTTTATTATTTTTCCTGGACTCATCGGTTAGGCGGAGAGTTATTAATTCGTTATTTTGTAGATACCCCGTATATGCAACCAAACATATCACTGAAAGTTGTAATATTAGATGAACGTGAATTTGAAATAACATACAACAACATTTCAGTACTATTTTTGTAGTAGATTATTAATAAATAAGAAATCATCATAACTATATTTAAATGTATGTTTTAGACTAATTTTTATCTTGTTCATGGTGTGGGCGGTTGCATAAGCAATTTTCTTAATCCGTGATTCATACAATATGGCATACGTTGTGTCCGCGTTTGCGCGTTGGTTGTTTTGCGGGTTCAAGTTCCAGTACCTCAGTTTCAACGGTTTCAACAGTTTCATGTTTTAGTTATAGAATACGTGTGAGTGCGTGGTTGTGTTTATGCTCGTGCGAAGAGGTTAGGGTATTGTGTTTTTTTTGCATTGTTTAGGTGTTTGTTTGATACGGTATTCGTGTCTCTGTTTGTGTTTCCGCGTTACTTAAACTGCACCAATGTTTTCTGGTCCCTGCCAATATTGAAACGGAGATGAAAATGATGGGTGTCTTGGAAACAAAAAATGTGGCTTGCCTTTTGTCATCAGTAATCACATGTGGTAAGTGTTTAAAATTCATAAATCCTGTTTTTAATACATTTCTGAGGCATTACTCTCAATAAGAGGAGAAATGTTCCCAGTAAAGGTTCTGTTGTTATCAAATGAATAAATAATGTAAGGGTGACCAGATTTCATTTTGTTAAAAAGAGGACACGAATCTCACGGTCATATTTAAACGCTATTTTTTTTAAAGTCCACCAACGTTGCAATTTCTTACAAAAATATAGGCAGCAACTGCGCTAGTGATTTTTAAAGGAGAAATAAATTAAAAAGAGGTTAGATTTTGCTGCTTCTGGCTTCTGTCAAAAGTCAAGTGTTGTCTTCCTTTATATACCGGGTGTCTGGAAAATGGCGGATTAACTCTCCGCTACGCTCTTAACAATCAACTGGTGAGTCTGGGAAAAATAGTAAAAAAAATCTTTTTCACATTTTGGTGGAGTTATAATGATTTTAAAATTGGTTCTTTTGCAACATTTAACAACTAAACAGCTCATTCATTAGCACAATAACTAGTAATAAACCTTTTAGATAAACAGGAAGTAAAAAACAATTTGAAGTTTTATTAACTTTATTGATAATAAGAGGCATATCTTATGTAATTACATCAAGTAGCATAAATATAACAGAATACATTGTAATTATAACTAGTAGAAATAATTTTTGGATAGTGATCAAGAATATGGTGACCAGATTTCTCGCCAATGCTGTACACAAGTTTGTTGGTATATAGGCCCAATTCTGAATCAAACCTGTTAAAATTTAAAGGTTGTTAAAAAATAAACAGCCAATCAGATTTACGAATTTAACTCGTTACTATGGAAATTTGCAATTTAACACCCTTTAAATTTAACAACTTTGATTCAGAATTGCCCCTTATGTCAGTCCAAAATATTTAAATATTTCACAATTAAATTTTATTTCAAAAATTATAAAAAAGAAGTAACAAATTATTTATCTATGTACCTATTACAAATATTTTCAGCGGAATGAAGTTTTCTAAGTATATAATTGGTTATTTGTCTCAATCTTTTAAAAATTCCTCACAATTATTATTTGCCATATTCCTTCGAACGATTAATAAGTTTCTACATTCAATCAAGATTTCTCGTCAGCCCATATATTATTCACCATAGAAAAAAATTCTTTCTGTAGGAGCATTAGTACGCGATAAACACAATGCATACTCGACTATTTGTAAAAGATTGGGAAATTCAATAGACTGAGCAAATCAGTGGGCATATCTTGATCTTCCCAGTTTTTGATTTTTTCTTGTGTCACATAATTTTTAAGGAAAGTTACTTCGTCAAATAAAATATTTTCATTAATTTATGTGTAAGAAAATATTCCAAAATTGAAGATACACAATATTGAATTGAAGTCCAATCAATAATTTTATTTAATTCTGTCCATTCTAAAAATTTTAAATCAGTAAATTGTGTTGTCCATAAATTTAAATAGTCTAAACAGTTTTGATAAAACAATTTAATATGATTAATAAAGCACTGTTTGTTCAGTTGGCCATTCTCACAAAGCCTGTTCAGATCCTTTTTAATAATTAGGGATAAAAAGTTTCATCTCGTCTGACTGTTAACTTTAGAATAAGTTTATTTATTTCACTTGAAACTTGTACAGCAGTACTTTTGTTATGTTCATTTCAGAGGTTTCATTCTCCAAAAAGTTTTTTATATATACAGTTCACTTTTCTGTCGACAGAAAGTAAGATTTTAATGGTTCAAATAACTTAATAATTCTTGCAACAATATGGTAATAAATAACGACCGGTAATTCACAGAAATAACGCTAGTCAACTAGTGTCTAGTCACTCTAGTAGTAGTTACAATGTAAATCAAAAAAGCAGCCTGCGTTATCGACTAATATCAAGCAGATCTTTAACGTGTTAGGATTCTGTATTCTTTAGTGCAGAGTGTTTTTTTTTTGTCTTCACCTGTACGTGTAATTCATAATTACAGAGCAAAAATGCGTAATTTGTAGTATCAGTGCTGTACATTTGCTGTACAGATGTTAATGCTGATTGATTCAGTTAAATGCTGGACAATACAGCAAAAATCCGTACGTCTGGTCACCCTAATCAATAACGGAAGTTTCTGAAAAACTGATAAAATTAAACAAAATTTTGTAACGATATAATAAATTAAGCTTAATAAACCACAGTTACTACTTATAAAAAAATTACAAAAGTAAAAAAAAGAATAATAGTATATTATATTGCTAGGAGTAGAACGCATTCTTAGAAAATATTATATTTTTATTTATTTTGCAAAGTAATGTTAAAAATACAGGATTGCAATGTGCAGTTTTGAATATCTACTGCTAGCTACAGTATCGATATTCATAATTTTGTTGGTTTGTCCGAAGACAGGATTTGCCGAATATTAGTTGAGTTAGACTTCAATTCTGACAAAAAAAGTGCTAGGCTTACTATTGCTCTGATTCAACTGTGCAAAAGACGTGCTAGGCTTAAATTGCTCCAATTCAACTGTGTAGAAGAGCTTGCCTCATTAATGGGGGCAAGAATTTTTGATGTTGTCTGTGTTTTGTTTATTATGGAGTCTTCTATATAACCTTCCGCTACATTGGTGCATTTCCATCTTCCGTGCCTCTTTAGGGGTGTTATATCGCCACCATTATCTGCTAGAAATGTTGCAGAAGTTCTGCAAAGGCAATGGCCTGTATAGTCACCAGGATTTGGTAGTTTCAAAAACGATGCAATTGTTCTAGGTACACTTGAAATTTTATGGATTCCCATCACAACATTGTGACATTTCCCGTTTTGAAATTTAAGAAAAAAATCGGCATATATTTGTATCTGTTGGGCGAAGACTGATATATTGTCTGTATAAATTTAAATAAAAGTCTCCAATAATTGTAAATGAACGAGATTGTTTGGTTTTGCTGTTGGGAATTTTGACTAAAATCAGGGTTCCTAAATCGTCAACATCATTTTCTCTCATTTGAACAAGTTCATCACAACGGCAAGCCCCCATTACTCCAAACGTTAGTGTAACCTAAGAAACATAACACTGAATTGCGTTTTTAATGAAACGTGTTACCCATCTTTGTGGCTAAATAAATTTGATTTGGGGCTTCTTTCAAAAAGTCATTAAATTGTTGTTTTGTGAACACTTTAGATTTTTTGGGACGATAACTTGTGCCCTGTCGCTTTAAAAATGCGAGCAATTTATTATATTTTCCAATGTCCACATTGTGTTTAACATTTAATTCGGTCTTAGTCATTCAGTATTGGACTCATAGACTGGAACTCTTCAGTTTTTTTCTTTCAGTTTAGTAATACGTATTCAGAAATTATAAAACTACCCAACCGACAACATTGTACGAAAACTCAACCGACAAATCCGCAGATACCTTTTTAATGGGTTATTCTAGTGGAAAAAAAATAAAGGTTATGTGGTCTCTCTTTGACACTTAACTCACAAAACTAGAATAGCCACGCGCTTTAACTTAGCATTGCAATGTTTGCTCCCAACATAAACTATCAAAATATTGTACTTTGTGTTTACTCTGCCCTCCAAACCTGTGGCATGCGGAATTAAATTTGGAAGCTACAAACGAGATAATGTAAATAATCAATAATGCAATAGAAAATTCTAATAAACTTGCAAAGTTATGGGTTAATAAAGTAAAACATCTACAATATTGAAAAAAAAAACATTTTTATTGATGTTTAAACAAAATGAGATTAGATATTATCAGTGCTGGCTGTAGCAGTAGTAGCAGCACTTCCTAGGTTCTCCTGCAGATATTGCTTTAACCTTTCATTAAATCTCATTCGCGTTCCTGCATTATTTGGGATAATTTCTGTTAATAACTCTTTTGTTAACTTGGGTAAAAATCGATGGTTATTCCTTTTGCTACAAAATAATACATAATAGCGTCGGTAAATAATATACACATTAATGTGTACATTGACTTAGTATATATCCCTAAGTAATAGGTAATAAGTTCAAAGTTGTTTCCAGCAATGTCCTCAAAAAAAAATTCTAACTGATCAAACGAATATCAGAACCTTGTAACAGAATAACTACGCAAGGGACCCACGGATAAACTTAAAAACATTGATGACACAACAGTGCTGATACGCAAAAAATCGTGAGCCCTTTGGATGCCAGACACACTGGAAGTCTTTATTGGATGTACTTATTTTGAAATACAGATGTAAGTTTTTGTAATTCCGAGTTACATAATAATTTTTCAGCACGCATTCAGCAGACGACTGGTAATGGCGGTTCATTCACTACCCAGCTCTTTTTTAACTCAAAGGAAATATTAATTTCTCAACAGCAGTAATTATTATTTCTCAGAGGAGTAAAACTGTCTTGGACTAAAAAAATTATTCTTCTGTTTTACACCAACCAAATGCGCAGGTCTGGAAAAAGCACACGCTTTTTTGGTCAGGTGGAGATAAATATTATTTCATCTTGAATTTAAAATAGGAACCAATTAATTATTTCTTTCTTCCACTGAGTTTTCTGTTAATGAGTACATTTTATTGTAAATTTAAGAAAGAAAATTCCACAAACGAAAACTAAATAATTGGTTTAAATACAGACTATATAAACACTCAGATAATACTAAGTATTTAACTTGAAAAGAATGTATGAAATTCGATTAAAGTAAAAACGCTGAACTTACTTATTTTTGTTTTAAATTGAAAGAAAACCACTACTTCACGTGAATTTAAGTTAATATATATTCCATACATTAACTTAAATTATATATATAGTTCTATACTTTTTTTCTCATATCAAAAAAATATTTTCAAGTAAAAATTGTACACTAAAGTAGAAAGACATTTTTATGTGTGTGGTGCTAAATGTTTGCACTGCCAATTGAACTTTCATCATCCCTTTTTTATAATTGAAATGTCGTCTTCTTAACTTTGTAGCAGAGTGCAAACCATCATTTTCTTGTAGTTCAATCAGTTATATAAAAAAATTCCAGTTAATACCGTGTCCATTTTT